CGAGACTTTGTGCATTGCATTCATATTCTGCTGTTCTGTGGCCACGGATTTGCAGGTCTTGTCTTTTTCTTGCAGGACCCTGTAGGTTACGGTACTAAATTAGCTTTAATCGTTTAATCACCACAGCGTCTTGTCTCCATTGGCAACACGCACGATTTGTGTCGATTGCAAGTGACGTCGCAGGTATCGGAGAGTGCAAGTGGCGATTGCAAGTGACTTCGTAATTTGTCTTGTCTTCACCACCTGGCTATACTGTTGTAAAATGTTGAGAGATTCAAACAAAAAGTAATCAACAAATAGAACAAAATAAAAAATAATAAAGACTGCAAGTGACGTCGCTAGCGGAAGTGCAAGTGTCTGAGAGTGCAAGCCTGAGAATGCACGTCTGAGAGTGCAAGCGCCAGCTGCAGCCAGACCCTTCTCTGTTTTTTTGGCAAATGCAAACTGTCACCAAAATAAAGGTGTGACATGCATCACAAAGGAGAAGTTGAGTTTATGATGCATGCTGTTTACAACATCAGTCATGTTGTAAGGCTTTTTCAGGCTCATTCATGACAGAAAATGCGCTCACTTTGATGTGAACATGCTTAACGGAACATGCAAGAAGCAGAAATATCCAGTACTCATTTATTTTGTGCCAAGTTTGGTCCTGCCCCAATGCAACTGGCCAGGTCGCTGAAAAAAACAGATTGCATTTGCACTTTGGCACTGCTAATCATGCATGTCTATAATGACCTCTCGCTGTTCATTATCTGAATGCATATGCCTCCATTCTTGCTTTCAGCATTTGCTGTTTTATGGAAAAAGCAAACTGTTTAATGCACCAAAATAAAAGGTGCGACGTGTCACAAAAGAAAAGCTGAATTTATGATGCATGCTGTTTACAACATCTGTCATCTTGCACCAAAGGCTTTTTAAGGGCCACTGAGGACAGAACATTTGCTCATTTTGAGGTTAGCATGCTAAACGAAACATACAAGAACACTTAAAGGTTCCAAAGGCATTTTGCAGTGATGCCATAGAACAGGACTGTCCAAACCTGTTCCTTGTGAGCCACTGTTCTGCAGAGTTTAGCTCTAACCAGAATAAACACACTTTAACCAAGGTCTTCAGACTCGCTAGAAGTGTGTTGGAGCTAAACTCTGCAGGACTTGGCCTTCCAAACCATTTTTGGGTTCCCCAAAGAACGTTTCAGAAACGATTTCATTTATTTCTTAGTTTGAAGAACATTTGAATCATCTAAAGAACCTTTTTCCACTATAAAGAACTTTTTGTGCAATGGAAAGGTTCCATGGATGTTGAAGGTTCTTCATGGAACCATCAATGCCAATAAAGAACCTTAATTTTTAAGAGTGTAAAGAAATTTTAATCTAAATCTAAAGAACCTTTCTCTACTAGAAGAAACCTTTTGTCCACTGGAAAGATTCCATGGAATTTTAAAGAACCTTTAGCAGCAGAAACATCCAATTAATTCTGTGCCAATTTTTGAGCAAAAATATCAAACAAAACGTTGTCAAAACAAGTTTCAAGCACTCAAGTTTCACACCATTTGTTATTGCTACCATTCCCCTGCTGGAAAATCCTGCAGAAACAGTCGGCTAAAAGATGGTGGCTAGATTTTGAAATACAGTCGTTATTTCTTTGTTTACAGCATGGTGATTACTCAAACTCATATGGTCTTTCTCATATTGTTTGATTTTTATTTCGTCATTGCTTTCCACAGATGGGAGAACAAGAACCCAGTGACAGGCTGAGAGGAGACCAGCCGAAAGAGACGAAGGAAAATGGCACGGGAAGTTTCTCCCAGTTCTCCTCTAGCGTACGAACCATGGTGCGCATTCGCCAGAAGTACCAGGCCATGAAGAAACGGCGTCTTGAGATAGCAGCGGTGTCGTCCCAGAGCTTCATGTCTCCACGGTCCACCAGCCCAAAGTTTTTCACCTTTGAAAATCTTCAAGACACCATAAACTCTAACCCTGCCTCCCCGCGCAAGCGGAAGAAAAAGAGGAAGGCGCGGGTTTTGTATCCGAGCAGCAGTTTGAGAGCCGTACCCACAAAAGAGAGAAGCCGTGCAAAGAACTGCCTCTACTTGTTGTGCATCATCGTATTTCTACAAGTTTACAATGCCATTGAGAACTTGGATGACCATGTGCTTAAATATGATCTAGACGGACTGGAGAAAACCCTTAAAAGGGAAGTGTTTGGCCAACAGGAAGTGGCAGAGAGTCTTCTGGGTCATTTACATGATTATTTGTCAACTTATGTACACAATAAACCTTTAGCGTTGTCGCTCCATGGACCCACTGGAGTTGGGAAGAGCCACGTTGGCCGATTACTGGCTCAGCATTTCCGCTCGGTTGTTGGCGAGGACTTGGTGATGCAGTACTTCGTTCTGCACCATTGCCCAACAGATGACGATATCCCACAATGCACCAAATCTCTGGACTCTCACGTCTCGGAAATGGTCACTCAGGCTGAGGAAGAGGAGAAGATACCAGTCTTTATCTTCGATGAGGTGGAGCACATGCCCAGGGAGTTGCTGGACACATTGCAAGACCTGATTCATCCCAAAAACAACAACGAATACTTAAACGCCATCTACATTCTCATCAGCAACCTGGGACATGAAGACATCACCAAGTTCGTTCTGCACAACTCCAGCGTCGCCGTCTCAGGCCGTCTGAGCTTGAGTCAGGAGCTGAACCCTTGGTTGCGTAGCTACCTTGAAAGATACCACATACTATTTTTGGAGGCAGAGCTCCTGCCCTTTATGCTTCTGGAGAAGAGCCACGTAATGGATTGTTTTATTGACGAGATGTCCAGGGAAGGATTCTACCCAGATCGATCCCATGTAGAAAGGCTTGCGGAAGAACTATCATACTATATAGTTGGCGAATGGAAATTTTCTCGCACCGGATGCAGGCAGGTTGTGGCAAAAGTGAACCTTCTCTGAAACAAAATCTGCCGTGCAGATGGTCAACGTGAGGAAATTGTTATTGGTTCACATTTTTTCCCCATTTCATTGTACATTCTATGTAAAAAAAAAAAACTTTTGTTGTAGTTATACATTATATTTGTAAAGAACATGCTATACTGTACTGTTTCAAAGTTTGGGGTGCGTAAGATTTTTTTTTAATGTTTTTGAAAGAAGTCTCTTCTGCTCACCGAGATTGCATTTATTTGATTAAGAAATACAGTAAAAACACTAATATTGTGAAATATTATTACAATTTAAAGTAACTGTTTTCTACTTGAATATAGTTTAAAATGTAATTTATTCCTTTGATCAAAGCTGAATTTTCAGTATCATTACTCCAGTCTTCAGTGTCAAATGATCCTTAAAAACTGCATCTGAATAATACATTTTTGAAACTTTATGAATGTATTTACTGTCACTTTTGATCGATTTAATGCATCCTTGCTGAATAAAAGTATTAATTTATTTAATAAATAAATCTTTCAAACCCCAGACATTTGAACGGTACTGTATTTTTCCTCATACTTGTACTGTGAAGCAGGTCCATGAAACAAGCACAACTCTAAATAACACAAAACAGCATTCAATTTTTCTTCGTTTATTAAAATTCCTCAATTTCCACTGGAAAAATTAGGTACAAAGACCAACTTCCCCAAGACTGTAAAATTAGTTATTATATATAATAACGATATATATAATAGTAATATGGAAAAACAGTTGGTATGTACAACGCATTACACAAATCTGTGCCCATAAAGAGTTCAATGCACAAAAAGCTCATTTGTACACTTTTGAAATGGTTTGCTAGCGGCATATTTTGCCACAAGACAGAGTTGCTCTCTAACCATCAATGAGTGTGTAATAGATAGTGTTGCAAGCTCTAAAAATACGCATGCTGTCTGTTCAGTTTCCTGTGAGGCCTAAAGCCCAAGAAGTGCAGCATCCTGAGAAATAACCTTAACTACAACCATGCAAGTTTAAGACCTTCGCTCACCGACGCGATAAATCAAACACAAGTCCTTAACATGCACTGACATCACCAGAGAAACACTCCAATCTTGCAAATCTACCGCTACTTGTGTAATTTGGTTTGCTCTACGTAAATATGCGGCTGTCGTTAAATAAATCAGGTGATCAGCAAATATTTCCCTTAGAAGGCCAGGTCTTACGGCCGGTTGAGATTGAATCACTCAGCTCCCACAGACTTGCAAAAACCATCAACATGCCGCTAAGTGTTTTTAGTCATCGAGTGCTAGTGTGTGATGTAGGAGGGACAACATGAGGACCGGCTCTCTCTTCGGTGTCTTTTGCACTACGGCAGCTACGCTTCCAGTTCAAAACCCAGTCCTACTTTGTGTCCGCCTGTGCTGAAGTTTTTTCCGTCGATCAAGGCCGAGAGAGTGAGTTTCACACCTTTACAATGGGACAAAGAGAATGTAAGACATTAAAAGATGCACGAAGAGGTTAATAAGTATCTTAAAGAATTAAAATATTGGTCACAAGATGACTGGAATGAAATTCTAGTGTACTACATATTGTGGAGTATATACGGCTTACTATTTATTAATAATTACTAGTTTTAAAATAGCACTTTGTATGTTTTTTAGCAAATTGTATGCCGTATGCAAAGATCAACGCCATTAAACAGTAGTATGCGACACTGCTGTCACATAATCTCACTGTTGCATGCAAAATGCAGTGAAATAAAAAATTTTAAAAAGTACATTTGTAATAAATTTAAATTATATTTAAATAAATAAATAAAATGTTCGCCCAAAAATGAATTTTCCTGAACATTTACTCATCCTTAGGCCATCCGAAATGTAGATGAGTTTGTTTCTTCATGTGAACAGATGTGAGAAATTGAGCATTTCATCATTTGCTCACTAATGAATCCTCTGCAGTGAATGGGTGCCGTCAGAATGAGAGTCCAACCAGCTGATAAAAACATCACAATAATCCACAAGTAATCCACACCACTCCAGTCCATCAGTTAATGTCTTATAAAGTGACAAGATGCCTGTTTGTATGAAACAAATCCATCAATAAGGCATTTTTACTTTCAAACCATCATTTCTGGCTAGATTATTTGCCATAATCCATAATAACGCTTCCTCCAGTGAAAATGTCTATTCCCTGTTGTCCTCTCACATTAAAATCCACAGACATATTTGTTCAGAAAATGATTTTGGTAAACGGTGCTTGATCTGTGCATATTTCTCTCCTGATTCAGATGAGATGACTTTTTCACTGAAAAAAAAACATTATGGATTTTGGACTCGTATTTTAGCAACCAGTTGAAGTTAAACCGTCTTAATAATAGATTTATGTCTTACAGACACAGCTTTTGGCTTCACAAGACATTAACTGATGGACTGGAGTGGTGAGGATAACTTGTGGATTATTGTGATGTTTTGATCAGCTGTTTGGACTCTCATTCTGACGGCACCCATTCACTGCAGAGCATCCATTGGTGATATTTCCCCAAATCTGATGAAGAAACAAACTCATCTACATTTTAGATTTCCCGAGGGTGAGAAAAGTTTCAGAAGATGTTCATTTTCAGGTGAACCATTCCTTTAATAATGCCTCAACTTCCAGTAGTATGCTTGAATAATAAATCAAAAAGGAATATGCTAAAAATCACTCTTGGTTCATTCTTCACACTTCAAATGAAATGCACTGCACTCTGGGATAAAGTACTCCCTGCGGTGCTTTGATTGTATATTGAACATTTTAGCAAATGTCATTCGGTGCTTAAAGAAAATTCACAAACTGTGCAGTTTGCATACTGCAGAAATGTAGAAGTGTTATGCTGTTCATATCCAGAGATCATAAACAATAATCATAACACGATTACCGGGTCGAAGACTCTGAGTGTAACCAACTCCAATCAGACTGGCATTGTTCACTTTAGCCTGTTATGAGGAAATAATGAAACATGCTCAGGTTGGTCATTCCAAGCTTTGAATATTTAGTATAACTTCCCTGTAAGGGCAGATTTAGACCTGAAAATAATCCAAAAAACAACATGGATGCAGATGCTTCAAGTTACACAAATGATGGTCACAACTCGAATCATAATGCAACACACATCTGCATTTGCATTCTCAGCATTGCTGTTATGTACAACGGAACCCCAAGCTTGTAATGCATTAGCCAAGAATTTGCATGGGTGATTGCGTACTTGCATAGAGTACTTTTTTGGCTTAACTCAATCCATATTAAGTGAATTATCCTTTTCTCAGATTGTGAACTTACAGACACCGAGGCATCTTTATCCAGCTGGTACTTTGCAGCAACTCCGAAGCGTGTGTTGTTGCTGCCTGAAGTCCAGGTCAAAGTGACGGCCGTCTCCAGCTGATCACTGACCTTCTGATAGACAGATCCTCCGAACTCAGCTCCGTCATTACTGGTGACACATGACACATTCAGAACATATTAAACCAATAGCATGCCTTCAAAATGTTTTTTACTTAACTATGTAACATTATGTGACAGTGTTCACTAGCTGTTTCATTGACGTCTTTCCGCGGTTGAAACACTGATTGAGTGATTTCATGAGACGTGATTCGTTTCGGTAAACTGGTCTCTTTTAATTTAGTTTCTGATGTTAAATTTATGCTTATTTTGTACTGTAACTGAGCTGAAAACTCAGATTTAGTTTCATATCAAAAGTGACAAAGCTGGAGGAGAAGACAGCATAGACTAAAAGATAGATTCTTGCGATTTAAGAATTAATATCAGTTTCGATAAAATAAGAATTTATTAAAATCGGGAAATCAATATTTTCAACCCAGCCCTAATGTCAGCAGGATCGTAGCTAGCTAAATCAAAATATTTCATATTTAAAAATATGAAAAAGTTAATTGCGAGCTTATATTCTGACAAATAAGTCCGAAAATGTAAAATCGCAAGATATAAATGTGCAATTCTGACTTTTTTCTCGCAGTTCTGATTTTTTGTTTCCGCCACAGAATGAAAAATAAAAGTAATTGCGACTTATCTCACAATTCTGACTTTTTTTCTCACAATTGCGAGCTTATAACTCACAATTATGACTTTTCTTCTCAGAATTTGCGAGTTCATATCTCACAATTATGACTTTATTCTAGAATTGTGAGATATAACCTCAGAATTGCATGAAAAAAAGTAATTTCCTTTTTTATTTATACATTTTTCCTGTGGCAGAAACAAGCTTTCATAGCAATTTCTGCAGTATCAACTTAAAATCCACTGATCAGCATTTTCCTGTGTTGTTTTTCAATGCTTCTTACACGTTGGTGTGAAGCTGGAAATCTCCGGCCTTGTATCCCAGAGCGAAGTTGTTTTGCACCGGTTTGGATTTGGCCGTGTCAAACGCCATCTGGTAGCCCAAGAGCCAGCCTTCGTATCCCAGAACCGCTGCAGAGTGCACAACCGGACCCTCGAAATCAATGTCGCAGCTCACATTGACCAAGTCACGCTTGTAGCCGGTCTTCAGTTTACCGCTCCTCTTGCTAAAGAGAGAATAACACTGTCAAAGACATCAAACAAAAGCATGAAACAAGCATCAGATACTAACAACTCACCCTGTGTTTGGTACAAAAGACGTATCCAGGGCCAATTTCAACCCCTGTGCGAGCTGAGGAGATGATACAACAAATCATGAATATGATAGCAAACCATTTTGATCATACTCAATGCAACTCAATAGGGGTCAAAGGTCATGAGGAGAGTGTGATCAGACCTGGTCTTCCACAGACACTTCTGTAGTGAGCATGTTGTCTGTGTTCCACTTCTGGTTTAAACTCAATCCCAGATCCTTCATCTTATACTTGGTCTCCAAACTCCCACCGGCTTTTCCCGTGTCCGTGTTGGTGGATCCAGATGTGTTGAACTCCTGCAGTTGGATTAGAGTTTATGAACAGGATTAAAAAAAATAAACTAGGCATGTATTAGCAACAAACAGCTTTTTATTTAATCATATCGGTCTGTTAGGCTACAAAAGCACTAGACTGTTACCTACTTTTGTGTTGTATATTATAATGTTTTGATTTCAGATTGTAATTTCACTTTTTTTTTTACTATCAGAGAAGATAGTAAAGATAAATAATATTGGACTTTTTTACTGACAATTATTAACACTTAAATATTTGTTATAAATTTGTTATACTTTTAAGCCATTTGAAGCTTGTTGCTTTCTACCAATGAGTATTTACTGACAATTAACACTTAAATATTTGTTATAAATTTGTTATACTTTTAAGCCATTTGAAGCTTGTTGCTTTCTACCAATGAGTATTATTTTAGTATTATTTATACACTATTACAGTATTTATTCATATTTTCAATTATCAGTTTTAGTAATTTAATTTTTTCTTTTGTCATTTTTAGTTAGTTTTTACCTATTATTTAAATATTTAATTAAATATGTAAGATTTTATTAAAATATTTATAAATAGCTTTAGTTAATTATTATTTCAGTTAATTTGAGTATTTTTAGTACTTCATGCCAAGGCATCGTTTCAAATTTTTTATTCAAGTTTAAGCTTTTCATCTAATATCTATTTTATTTCAGCTTTATTTCAGTTACCGAATTACCCATTTTTCAATTACTGATATTTTAAATACAGATTTTTAATAATATTAATTTGAGATACAGTTAAAAACAACAACACCGCTATGATAAACCCTGTAATTATCAATTACCAAATTAGTGATTTTTCAATTACTAATTTACCAAATTATTGATATTTCAATTTTTAAATAAAGTTAATAGTGTTAATTTTACTATTAGTTAAAAAATAACAACACTGTTACCACCAACCCTGTATTTAACAGTTAAAAGTATCTGTCAGGAAGTCTATATTTGTGCATTATTAAAAACAACACATTAAGAGGACAGTGTGAGCAGGTGTCTCATGAAATTACTGCATGGCAGATGGCGAGCGATGTGACAGAATTAGGTTTATTTTGATTGTGAACCAGAAACACTGATGGGACGTGACTCTTATTTAACTCTAGAGTGATGTTGGTTGTGTAGTCAGAGAAAAATTATTCAAAAATAAATTCACACATGACGTGAAAATAGTTACCCACGAATAACTGACAGCAAGATAAAAGTTCAGGCAGTTCCTCCTGTATGGTAAATGATGTGTGATGGAGACCACAGAGACGTGTGGGCCTTCAGAGTGAAACATGCCACATCACACAAACACACCTACAATAATCTTACCATCTAAATGCATTTCCCAAAATGATGCATCAAAGACACAACAATTGCTTTAATGTTTAAATACATGACAATTAAGCATCAAGGTAATGAAATCTGCTTCACTGTCATGAGAACAATGACACCTTAAAGGAAAATTTCACCCAAAAAATGTTATTTTCTGAAAATTCACCCTGCTTCAGTCCATCCAAAATATTTGTTTCTTCATCAGAACAGGTTTGGAGAAATGTAGCATTCCATCACTTGCTCACCAATGGATGCTCTGCAGTGAATGGGTGCCGTCAGAATGAGAGTCCACACAGCTGATAAAAACACAAGTAATCCACAAGTAATTCACACCACTCCAGTCCATCAATGAATGTCTTGTAAAGTAACAAATCCATTATTAAGACATTTTAACTTCAATCTGTTGCTTTCAGCTAAAATACTGTAGGAGTCCTCCATCCATCATATTGCTTTCTCTAATTAAAAAGCTGTCTGGTCTGAATCGGGAGAGAAATCTGCACAGATCAAGCACCTTTTGCAAGCCAAAACAGCTCTAAACAAATATGTGTGTGGATTTTGATGTGAGAGGACAACAGGCGACTTTATCACCGGAGGAAGTGTTATTATGGATTATGGACTTGTATTCTGGCCAGAAGCAGCGTAGATTATGGATTTGTTTATAACAAACAAGCAGCTTTTCACTTCACAAGACATTAATTGATGGACTGGAGTGGTGTGGATTACTTGTGGATTATAGTGATGTTTTTATCAGCTGTGTGGACTCTCATTCTGACGGCACCCATTCACTGCAGAGCATCCATTGGTGAGCAAGTGATGTAATGCTACATTTCTCCAAACCTGTTCTGATGAAGAAACAAACTCATCTACATCTTGGATTTTCAGCTAATTTTCATTTTCTGGTGAAATATTCCTTTAATGGTCCTTAAAATCTAAATTTTATTTATGCAAAATATAATTTTGTTCTAGTTGGGCCCATATGTTTTTTAAAAAATAGATAAACTACTGCTACAAATAAAAAAAAAAACTCTTGGATTTTCAGCTAATTTTCATTTTTTGGTGAAATATTCCTTTAATGGTCCTTAAGATCTAAATTTTATTTATGCAAAATATAATTTTGTTCTAGTTGGGCCCATATGTTTTTTAAAAAATAGATAAACTACTGCTACAAATAAAAAAAAAAACGAACTCACCACTCCATTTTGAGATTTCGTTTTGAGGTCCAATTTAACAATCCCAAAACCTACAAACAAAACAAAGACATTAAATACAGTAGAATGCAACTTGTCTTTAAAGCAAACAACTTTTCCAGGATGGAGTGAGTTTCCTCACCGTAACCCTTGCTGAAAATGTCCTTGGCTGCTTTTCCCAGGTCTGAGTATGCAGGAGGAACAGCCATTATATCTGATACATAAACGAAAGGGGAAATGTCAGCATGTTTAAACTGTCAATGGTGTTGCAAGTAAGCTACAAAAATTGCATTTTTGAAGAAACCGGGGATGAACCTGCAGATGAAGCAAACCCTCTAAATGGCATAATCAGTTACCATATCCACTGTGTGAATGTAGTTCATAGTAGTTGTTCATTTTCTAGTTAGTAAATTAAGCTTTCATAATCTGTCCATGATTGCATTTAGACCGCCAACATATTTGACTTTTATTTTCACATTATTTTATGAGGGCCTGTTAGATACTAGAAAATAAGTGGACAACCAGCGAATTATAACTTGATTGCATGCAAAAAAACGATGCCAACCAGCATCCTTAATACTGTGCATCTATTTTTACATGATTGTCCATGTAGGTTTTTTAATTGCAGTACAAACAAAATGGGCTGTAGGCAGCATTTTAGAGCATTAAACGTGTCTATCATACTTAAAAATACTGCCTGTGTAGGGTAAGGCATATTTAGTGACATTGATACTGAAATGAGGAACAGAAAAGCTGATTATCAAACACTTCAGTAGAAATGCATGCTATAATACAAGAAGGCGACGCCGTCTTCTGTTATTAAAGTAACAGACACGTGCATTATCACGCAGAGAAAACAGCTATGTGTGTTTATGCATGAGGGGGCGTGGTCTCGAGCTCATAATCTAATCATGAATGGAGGAAACGCCTTTAAGACTTAATCATATGCAGAAAGCACAAACATGTTGCATTTAATCATGACCAGCACAAAACCACACAGTTAACAAGGAAAAGGTGTTTAAATATAGACTAGGGTGAGGTTATGAAAAATAGCTGCTGTGCTGTGCTGTCTGTTTTTTATTGCTATAACAACACTACACACAACTAACTGCCTCGATATTTAAAGTTGCGGTCTAGTTCATAATAGATTGATAAATTCATACCGAGGATGCTGCTGCTGTTGTTGTTGTTGAGACAGAAATAAAATGATAAAAAGCAGAAGCTTTAGTGTGTCAAGTGTTTCAGATTTGACACGAACTGCTACAGGACAAAGTGAAGGAGACAAACTGCGCATGCGCACTGGCGTCAACAGAAACGCTTTCTAAATAAAAGTCCCCAGCAAGACATTAAAAAGTGTTTTTTTTTTTCACAAATAAAATGACCAATTTCTTATAACCTTAATTTCCAGCAATTAGCCATATATTCTTCAATATAGTAACTGTGGTATTTTCAAAAAGTTCTGAAGGGGCTTGAACTCTGTTTTTTTTAAGACTTTTATTGTTTATTGTTATTCCAAAGTACTCATGTATTAAATCTCCAAATGCAGACAAACGAGAGACAGCAGAAGCTGCAGTTTACAGCTGAAATTAATTATGTGCCCATATTCAACACTGCTTCATTATTACTCAAACACACACAGTTACCAGCAGATGGCATCCCCTTCACATAATGCTGCTCTCATTATTCTGGATCACTTGGAAATTCCTGAGTCCTAGGCATTTTTGATTATAAATAATCAATTATATTTTTCATATGCTCTGTCCCCCTTTGCATCTTAAAAAGCAGGTAAGTGTCTTTTTGGGCTTTTATGAACCACGTAAGAAACTGTGAAAGCCATTTATGTTAATGCTGTGACTGACTCCAGGTCAGCTGTGCCGCGCAGTTTTTGCACTGTCATCCACACTGTTTACAGTCCTCTGCTCACTTGAACCCTACAGGGCTGTAGTCAGCATCACTGCACAGGCGAGTATTCAGTGTGCTGGACTGCGATGTGTGTGTCATGCTGTGTGGAACTGATGCAGAGTAACAGAAGAGCTTTGATACAGTCTAGCATTTCTGTGTTGCAATGTAACAGTCAAGACCTGCCTGTAACAAAACTAGAATGTGTCAATCAGAAGTGTCAGGAAAACGTCACATTGCACCCTAAAATCCCCCCCCCAAAAAAACATTTAAATTATTTTAATGACAGTTAAGCACATTTTACACCTTAATTCTCACTACTGGAATGTGGGAAAATGCATTTATTTTATTTTTTAATATTTTATTTTTCATAATATTTTATTTTATCTATTATTTAATGACATCTGTTTTAGGAACTTTTTTCTTTCAGGACTTTTTATTATTATGTTCAATACATTTTTTGCACATTTTCTTTTTTTTTTTTTGTAAAGTATTGTACAATTTTACTCCAGATATTTGTTTTTTACATCTCATTATATATATATATATATATATATATATATTAGTAAAAATGTGCTTCGTTGGCATCAAATAATGTCACAATGCAAAAAAGGCTTTATTTTGTATGCAAAAGATAATTTCTTATTTGTTTCTTTTATTTTTGGGGTGAAATATGACCCAGACATGTTCTTCACTTTCCTTTATTGATAAAGTATTTCTTTATTACTGTTATCCATAAGTGCCTTTTATTTACGTGTAATATTTCAGGAACAGTCCTAAAGGAGTTCTAAGGAAATTCCTATGTCTACATTTCTAATCATTATGATTTTGAGTTAACAAGTATTAAATTGGGTATACTTTTAAATTGATCAAATAAGAACTTATAATAATCAAATAAGATTATTCATAATGAATATTTTCAGTTAGTATCTTATTTGATTGCTATTTTTATTTGATCCTTTTATGACTGGTTCCAAATTATGATAACATTGCATTAATAATGCATTAACATTCTTTTTCTTTATTTCATTCTCTCTTTGGCATCTATGGATAACTTTGTCGTCTTAAAAGTGTAGTTATAGGCTGTCTATCTTCCACCCTTCCCTGAAGTGTGCTTAGTTAGCGTGGTTAATGTCTTGCCAGGGCACGTGTCTGCAGTGACCGTTAATGAGAAACTCATAGTAGTTCCATTCATATCTAATTATGTGCTGCATGAAGCTCATTCTGGTCCCAGTAATTGCTCAGTGGAGTGATAAATGTGTTGGATGACTTTGTCATCTTAAAAGTGTAGTTATAGGCTGTCTATCTTCCACCCTTCCCTGAAGTGTGCTTAGTTAGCATGGTTAATGTCTTGCCAGGGCACGTGTCTGCAGTGACCGTTAATGAGAAACTCATAGTAGTTCCATTCATATCTAATTATGTGCTGCATGAAGCTCATTCTGGTCCCAGTAATTGCTCAGTGGAGTGATAAATGTGTTGGATGCATGACATGATATGATGACAGAGCCTGTGGCATGGACGCATTAACACAGTAACATGGAATGCAGACGGGTTGTGAGTGTTTAAATATGTTGTTTACTAGAACATGCAACTGAGTGCACTGGATTATCATGCATTTCATAGATGTCACAGATGTTTGTTAACATTTATTTATTGGACGCTATTTATGTTCAAAGAACATGATCCTGGACTTCGTTGGAGCAGTGCATTCCAAAGATGTCACTCCCCGAAACTTTGCAGGGTGTACTAATGATGTCCGGTTCGCGAACAAATCGTTCTTTTGAACCGGTTCTTTTTAGTGAACTGAATGAACCAGTTCACTGAACCGTTCGAAACAATTCAAGGCTCAAGTGAACACTCAGACTCTGTCTATACTGCAGAATTAATTTCTTATTTACATTGTGTTTATAATTTGTTGGTTATACGAGCAAACGACTCGCGCTGGACAAACTGGCGTATTGACCGCTGGCTAACTTAAACGCCTCTGATTGGCCATTGCTCCCACACGCTGTCTGTGATTGGCTAAAATTATCAACGCTGCAAAAACACGTCGTAAATAGAAACCTTTGTTTCTCTTCACAGAGAGCTTGTTGCAACACGCTTGTTGTTGCATTTTTAAAATGAAAGTATCGACTTGGTACCAAAGTACCAGTACATTTGTCAACAGTACTCATTATAATGTAAATACCTGCTCCACCTCTGAAAAAAAACGTTCCTTTTGGCTGACGTGTTTTGATTGTAAAAGACCAGTCATACTAGTACTTCACTATGAACAGATGGCTCAGCAGAAAAACAGAAGACGTCACGCCTGTCTGTCACTGCTCACGCAAACACTCACGCAAGGCCATTGATTGCATCATATAGAGTTACTTTGTTTGACTTCTAGACGTAAAACAGGATTAGGTGTGTCATGCAGTTCGCCCTTAGGATCTGACCAAACATTCCTCGCTTCCTTAAAAGTTCTAAAGGTTTTTCTGACATTTATAAAGTGTTATTTGCTTTTATTTGTTAGAAGCAATCTGGATTTGACCATGACATTTTTCCTAGTACTGAATACATAAGGTAGTTTCATATAAGTCTACTGAAGGGAACTAGTAGTATTAGTGGCCTGAACTTCCTGTTTGAAAGAAATTAATACGTTTATTCAGCAAGGATGCACTAAATTGATCAAAAATGACAATAATGCTGTTCTTTTGCACTTTCTGTTCATCAAATAATCCTGAACAAAATGTATCATGGTTTCCACAAAGATATTAAGCAGCACAACTGATTTTAACATTGATAATAATAATAATAATAATAATAAATGTTTCTTGAGCAGCAAATCAGCATATTAGAATGATTTCTGAAGGATCATGTGACACTGAAGACTGGAGTAATGATGCTGAAAATTCAGCTTTGATCACAGGAATAAATTACATTTTAAAATACAAGAAAATAGACAACAGTTATTTGAAATTCTAATAATATTTATGGTGAGCATAAATGTTTTAAAAACATTTTTAAAAATTACTGGCCTCAAACTTTTAATTTTCTAATATTTATATTTATTTTAAAATCTAATATTTGTTATTTATTTGTGTTAAGTGATTTATGTACACATATGTGGACATACATGGTGATTTTGGGATGGTTGTAGCCCCTCGACTCTCCCTCAGGGCAGTTTTTGTGGCTCGGGGAGATCAGCAGGTCAAACAGGTTAGATATCTGACCCTCCTGCACTATATTCTGCTGTTTCACCTGCTATAAGACACATTAGCACTCGTCAGTTATATTAAAACCTGTTAAACAGGTATACTGATGTTGTAAAGAAAAAATATATATTAACAAAAAACCCTCAAGTTTCTTGAACGTGCCCAGGATTGTTCCAGGAATTATCAATGATGACAAAACATCACTAAAATGAAGAGGAGACAATGAACAGGAACAAGAAATTGTAGTTTATGCACCACTGGGGAAACATCAGAAGTCATTAAGAGGAATTACAAATATAAAGCATAGGCACTCATTAGTGGAATATGATCAATTGTTTATGGCCAATTAATGACACAACAACATTAGATTTTTATTTTTGTGTCTTCACATTTTTCATCTCCTTTTTACACTATAAAAGGAGGGTAGTATTTTAATTAATTGACAAAATTAGCATACATTTGAGAGGAGTTATATAGAAGATACGGTATGCATTTTAGTGCATCCTGTAGAAAACAAAAATGTAATTAAATCTAAATTAAAATCTGTTTTTTCTTCTAGCCATCTGTGAGATTAAATGGAGACTTTTGCTGAAGTTTGAAGCCCTCCAATGTTTCTCCTGAGAAAAAGTCTTTTTCATAATATCTCATGTGTCTCCTCTAGAGATCACAGCAATGTCTCCAACTGTGCTCAAATGTGACCAAAGATCTCAATATGAACTCAAACACTGCTCTGCTATCCACAATCATTTTATCGCTCTATAATCTTACAGTATGACAAATGTTTACTCATTCGTGGTTATTTTAGTAGAAACACCTTAGACAAAGTTGATACCTAAATGAAAAATAACTCCATTAACACTTCTGAGTTATGAAAGAGCAGTAATATTTTCCTCTGGACTGTATACAGCGTATAATAATGTCTGCAGGTTGAATCAGATTCATTTGATCGATCACCTGAAGCGTGTAAATGTGTCCGCAAAGTTGAGATCTGATTAAAGAGCAGGACGTTTGTTTCACAGTCACACCCATCAGAGAGAGCAGGGAAATAGTTTAGTACAATTGTTTAGTGATTTTTTAAGTACATCAAGTTGAACTAAATGAAAATTAGAAAATGAGTTTACATTTATATATATTAGTGCTGTCAAACGATTAATCGCAATTAATTGCATACAAAATAAAAGCTTTTGTTTACCTAATATATGTGTGTGTACTGTGTATATTTATTATGTACATATAAATGCACACACATACAGTACAGTATATGTTTTAAAAATATTTACATGTATTTATATGTATATATTTATATAATTTATATGTAAAAAAATGTAACATAAACATAACATAATTTTCTTAAAAATATACATGCATGTGTGTGTATTTGTATATATATAATCAATATACACAGTACACACACATATGTAAACAAAAATGTATTTTGGATGATATATATATATATATATATATATATATTGTGTGTGTGTGTGTGTGCTGTATGTATGTATTATTTCAGTTAACCTCTTTTATTTCAAGTAACAATTTTTTTTTAGGTTATTATTTTTATTCTTAATTTTTAACTGAAATAACCCTGATTTGTGGCTTATATTGTAAATATCACTATTAATAAATTCTCTGTGTTTTGCAGGTGGGATTGCTGGAGGCATTGAAATCTGCATCACGTTTCCTACAGAGTATGTGAAAACTCAGCTTCAGTTAGATGAGAAGGCAAACCCGCCTCGCTACAAAGGCATCGGTGTGTATTTACTCTAATGACTTCATGTTATTATCTAAACTAAACACTCAGCAGTGGTTTTCATTCTAATTGCATCTGCCTTGTCCTGAGAGCTTTCCAAACACTTGCGTTTAATCATTGTGTGTAAAAACACATGGTTCATCGGCAGAGACCGAGTCCAAGCCGGTTTGAAAGCTCAAAGTACAGGGTTCAGGTACAGGGTTCAGGTTTATCAGCCGCTGGACTTTGTGGCCCATTTTCACAACAAGTTTATCAGCACGGATTGTTCAACCAGGTTCATTTATTAGCCAATCGCACGCTTGCAACCAAGCAGTGTCACATTTCGACAGTCTGGTCATGTTCTCTTTTGAAATGTTGAATGAATTACTCAGAATCAGATCAGAACGATTTGAAAAGGAAATTAATGCTATTAATAATTCATCACTACCCACGTTTCCAAAATATTAGCAATTTAAATGCCTGAGATTAGACTGCGAGTGGCTCTGTTTTGGAGGATGAATAATGATATTGAAGTGGTGTAATTCTTCTGTCCTGTCTCGTCAGTTGACTGTGTGAAGCAGACGGTGCGTGATCATGGGGTGAAGGGTCTGTACCGCGGTCTGAGCTCTCTGGTCTATGGCTCCATTCCCAAAGCGGCAGTGAGGTGAGCGCTTCCTGACCCGCTGGGATAAGCCTTTGACTGTCAGTGTGAAGTCTGACATTATGCCAGCTGAGAGCTGCCCACCGTTTCTAATTGAGCTCTGCTCTACAACAATTCATCGACGAGATGAGTCTTTTTGTAGAGTACTACTTGCTCACTGACATGACATATCAGCCAGTCCAGCTAGGGTTTTACATTTGCATTTACATTTACATTTGTAAACTATTAAGTCATTTACATCTATTAATTAAAAATATTGGAACCTGACATACAAATTTAAATCAGCTATGTGTATGTGTGTGCAGATGTTTTTAGTCATTTAAAAATATTGTAAAAATAAAAATATAATATATATAAATATAAAATTGATTTTTATAAAAATATTATAAATATAAATAAATAATTTATTATTTATATGTATAGTTCTTTATTATTTAGATTTATTAACTCATTTCACTTATCCTACCTGTAAACAAGGTTTTGCAAAGTACAAAATTATTTTATAGAGCACACAGTTTTTAAAAAATCATGTTAGCATGAAGTAATGTTATTTTAGTATTATTTATATATGAATTATTATTATTTTTGATTAGGTTTTATTTTTATATTTTCATTTTTCTTTTTCATTTGAGTTACAGTTTTAGTAACGTTTTGTGTTTGTCTGCAGGTTTGGGATGTTTGAATTCCTCAGTAACAAGATGAGGGATGAGTCTGGGAAGCTGGACAGCACGCAGGGGTTGATCTGCGGTCTGGGCGCAGGAGTGGCCGAGGCTATAGTCGTGGTGTGTCCTATGGAGACTGTAAAGGTGTGCGACGTGATATGCTGATGCTTTTAGCATGCATTGATAGTTAGAGGCCTAGTGCTAAAGATTACGCTGAGAGTGAGCAGTGCAACATTTGACTTTAGTCACATTGCATTGCTCACTTGCTGTCTAGACGCACTATAAGAAATTCCACACTAATGCAAAAAGTAGAACAGTTTACCTGTGCTTTACCAGTTATGTACAAGAATAAACTGATGCATTAACATACACTCAGGAGGCATATAGCTTACATTGCAGCTTTTAATGCATTCTACACATATCTTTGAAATACATGTGAAGTATAACCATTTCTGGTTGAATTAACACTGATATAAATCTAATGTTTTGGTTTAATTTCAGGTCAAATTCATCCACGATCAGACCTCAGCGAACCCAAAGTACCGAGGATTTTTCCATGGCGTGAGGGAAATAGTCAGAACACAAGGTACATGTGGATAGTGGGTTGTTTAGTCTGCAGCGCCACCGCCTGGAGACCAAACACACTTACAACTGATACATCTGAACAGTGAGAAATTACACGGTTATTATAGTTAACTCACAATAAAATTAAAACCATAAAAATCATTCGTTCGAATAAAATAAACATTGATTGAAATAAAACATTTTATTCCAGCCAGTTGTCAAGGCAACATTTCGTATTTTAGTTTACTTTAACTTCTTATGTTCTAAAATCACTAAAACTGAAACATTAATAAAATTATATAGACATATGTCTAAAACTACTCAAAATGACAAAAACGCAACAAAATTACATGAAATGAAAGTGAAAAAATAAAAACTAACAGTAATCAGTGATACTAAAATAACACTGATTATAAGCTGAAATTGAACTTTATAAATGTCACTTTATAAAAACACATTCTTGGCTGCTTTCTACATTTTATTTAGACTATTTCATAAGTGTTATCATAGTATATATTTACTATTATAGCTATGTTTATTATGAAACCACCCCAGAAATGTTTTACAAAATTTTGTAGTGCAAACAGTTTTTGTTAGCATGAAGCAATGTTATTTTAGTATTATTTATAAATTATAGTATTGTTTTTTGATTAGGTTTTATTTTTATATTTTCAGTTTTCTTTTTAAATTCAGTCAACGTTTTCAGTCAACGTGCTTTTGTCATTTCTATGTAGCTTTATTTTTATTTCAGTTTAATTTTGGTCATTTTAATACTTAAACTTAAACTTGTTTATTTCACTTAACCACCAAGGCAACATTTCTAATTTTCTAAAGTGTTCTTAAAGTTGAAGTTTTTTATCTAATATTTATATTTTATTTATTTATAGCTTTTATTAAAATTACTGAAAATATTAATCATTGGTTTTAGTTTTTTTTTTTTTTTTTTTTTTTTTTTTTTTTAGTTCATTTTTTCAAATTAGCATTTACTAAATTCCCATCATAAGAGTAGAATGAAAACTTTATTTAGAGTTGGTAAAACTCTCGTCTGTTTTCACAGGACTCAAAGGAACATATCAGGGACTGACCGCAACAGTACTGAAGCAGGGCTCAAACCAGGCCATCCGATTCTACGTAATGACCGCTCTCAGAAACTGGTACAAAGGTGTGAAGCACAATCTATAATTAGCATTCTATAAGTACTTTGTGTGCTGATCAAACAGTGTGGCTACAATGACCACTGTGTTCACTCTAAAACTAGGTGATAACCCCCAGAAGACTATTAACCCCCTCGTGACCGGAGTGTTTGGAGCCGTTGCTGGAGCGGCAAGCGTGTTTGGAAATACACCACTGGACGTGATCAAAACGAGAATGCAGGTGTGTAATAAGCAGAAAGCAAGACTGTTGTAAAACATCAACAGGACAGTTGAATATTGTTTTGTATGATGTTTTCAGGGATTGGAAGCTCACAAATATAAGAGCACAGTTGACTGCGCCATCAAAATCATGAAACATGAAGGACCGGCTGCGTAAGTAAACATGACACCAGCACGAAGTACCTGATGGAGATATTTATGGGTGAATCTCATGAAAATATTTGCAGTCATTATTTACCCAAAAATTAAAAGAAAAAAAAAAAAAAAAAAAAAGCCTTGGAGTAAATTCACCCATAACAAAATATATATATATTTTTTTATAAAAACACTATTTCTAAGACCATTGTAAATTTTCGACATTATTTTAAATGACAAAATTTTCTCATTTTATTCTAATTTAAGTTTTAGTAATTTTGTTTATTTTAGTTTTCATTTTTCTAGCTTAAATGTATTTTTATTTCAGTTTTAGTATTAGTCATTTTAGAACTTCAACTTCAGCTTATATCAGTTAGTTAGAAGTGTTTTATTTTTTAAGTTTTTCAGTTTAAACTTCATAATAATTATTTTTTATTTTATTTCAATTACAGAAAATGATCAATAATAGTTTTAGTTTTAAATAAGGACCAGCTTTGTAAGCAAGCATGTGATAAAAATGATGAAAGCACATAATAAAATTGCTCAAATTTAAACTAAAATCAAAATGAAATTTTTTGTCATTAAAATAAGTCATGTTGTTAATAAAAAACAGTATTTCTAAGACCATTACAAATTTTTGACAAAAGTTATGACAAAATTTTTATTCACATTTTATTTTAGTTGACGTTATAGTAATTTTATGTGCTTTTATCATTTTTATTAGTTCTAAAATTATTAATTGACTAAAATGACTAATTCTAAAATGAGTAAAATTAGTTAGAAATATAATTTCTATTAATTTATAGAAATAATTAATTAATTTTATTTATTTCAGTTTAACTCATTTTAGAACTTCAATTTCAACCTGGTTAGTTTTTAACATTTTGTAACGGTTTCATAAAAACATCTGGGCTCCCAATTTACCCCCAAATCAAAAGAACAAATTATGAAATTCTATTTTTCATGAAGACATACACATTTTTGACATTGTTTTCAGCACATACTCTCACCAAATTCTCATTACTGTAATGCATAATGAAAGATTTCCTGTGATTCATCCTTATGTATTCACTTAAACGTGCTGGCTTCGTTTTCTCTCTCTCCTGTAGATTCTACAAAGGCACCGTGCCCAGGTTAGGCCGGGTCTGTATGGACGTGGCTATAGTGTTCATAATCTACGAGGAAGTGGTTAAAGTTCTCAACAAGGTGTGGAAGACGGATTAATGGAGGCGTGATGCTGATGGGCGGAGTCTGGCCTTCATGACATCATACCGGTGTGACAACATAGAGCCTTTACTCAGCAGCCAAAATATCTGCCAACGGCAGACGACACAGAAAGTCACTGGAATGTGCTTAATTACCATCATTTAATCAACAGAGGGAGAGATTTTCCCAACTAATGTTAGAAAGACACCAAATACTTGAAAACTAGTTTTTACCCCAAAGACCAATTTAAATATTAGACTTTTTTTTTAATGGTTTTTATGGAAAATAACATCTTTAGGGAGACTCACTCAAATTTTATTTTATTTTTTTAAACATTAGGTATCATAGAAAATGTAATTGTAGTTTTAACAATATTATTTTCTAAAGTGCAGTTTACCAGCAAATAATATACGTTTCCATTGTATGTATTTTAATTTTGTTTTCCTCACATGTGATTATATACTAAGTGCTGAGAGCCTAATCTGAACACCGTGCAATTTAAGAAACAGAATATGTATTTTAGAAAAATCTTAACCTGTAGTCTAAAATGCATAAATTAACCTCATCTAAAAAAAATCACCAAAGCTTTTAATTATGAGATACAAATGTGTTTTATACCCAATACAGTACTTGTCAAACACTTGGAAACATTACGATTTCTGTTTTTAATCTAGTCTCTTCTGCTCACCAAGGCTGCATTTCTAAGCTCAAAAATACAGGGAAAACAGTAATATTGTGAAATAGTATTACAATTTAAACAGCAAATCAGCATATTAGAATGATTTCTGAAAGATCATGTGACACTGAAGACTGGAGTAATGATGCTGAAAATTCAGCTTTGACCACAGAAATAAATTACATTTGAACATATATTCACATAGAAAATGGTTATTTGAAATTATAATAATATTTCACAATATTACTGTGTTTCTGAGCATATAAATGCAGCCTTGGTGAGCAGAAGAGACTTCATTAAAAACTTCTACAAATCATAACTTTTGACAAGTATTAGTGGTACATATGATACATGCACTTTGACATTTGGTAGTAATCCAGGTTTAGTGATTATTTTAAGTGCCTATATTAATATACATCATATAATCTATTTTTTGTAATTCTACTTGTTTACATTAAATCATTTCCTGCTGTAACAGTATAGCATAAGAACAGTGACATATACAATAACTCTCTGAAATCAACACCACAACACATGCAACAGCTTTTAAAAACTGAACAGTGTTGTTTCACCCAAGCGAGCGTCACCAAAGAGCCAGATCACTCAAATACAATATTTACTTCTTTAACATGCGTTGAATGTTGTTAATGATGTGAAACCAGAGCCTCTTAAAAGCTGATCGCGGATCAGTCCATGCCTTAAAGACGATTCAGCGTGCTTGTTTTTCTCTTCCTCTTCTCCTTCTGCTCTCCTACCTCAAGACGTTCTCACAAATCTGTAAAAACTGACAACAGAGGTATACTGCAGACTGACGTGTAACAGACATTGTATAAAGCGGATGTTCACTTTTCAGCATTGTTTTCAAAACTCTGGCTAGTTTGTCACAGCAGACCAGAAAACTCGAGTGGCTTAACTTGTAGTATGCAACTGTTTTAGAGTTTAGAAATACTAAATACATGTATTTTGCCTTCACCGCACGTCATGTGGGAGAGTAACAGTCTTGAATGTACAGTCTTGAAGAGGTTTGACTGCCTGTGGTTCTTGACTCTTAAAAGACATGTTTTAGATGTACTGTAATGTCATATGTCTAAATGATACCGTGTTGCAGTCAAATCTTGATCTAGTGTTTATTTGACTTTGTGAACAGTAAGGCATAGGCGACCCATGTTGGGCCAGGAAACAGTAGTGGGAATAAACAGGATTTTATTGATGTGTTTCTGTGAAAGTTATCAGAATGCATTCCAAACGTGTGACCTAAAATATGCATTAATTGTCATGCTAATGAAAAATAATGTGCCTTCAGTTCATGTTCTAATTCAGAATAAATTATGCTGACTGGATAAATGAGTCTGCTTTATTTATTCATAGATAGATAGATAGACAGATAGATAAATAGACAGACAGACAGACAGACAGATAGATAGATAGATAGATAGATAGATAGATAGATAGATAGATAGATAGACATAAAAAAAAACGAAGTATAGACAAACAGGATAAATGATTCACAGCTAAAATTACATAGTTAAAAATAAGATAAAATATATCCAAAAAACAAACCAATGAACACGTTTAAAGTGAGATTAAGAATAAATAAAAGAAAAAAATAATTTAAATACCAAAAATAATTAGATAAATTAATAATGATATTTAGTTTCATATTTAAATTGATTTTTAACAAATTAAAAAATAAATATTTAAAAAATTGTGTTTTCATGCCTATTTTCAGGTTGAAATTATTAAAAGAAATGGCTTTATATATTTAAAGTGAGTTTAAAAGCAGACAATAGGACCATTCATATACATATTGAAAAATTAAATAATTAGATTATTTATTTAATTTAATTAGAATAATTTAAGAGAACGAAAGAAGTATACACAGATACAAATGTGTTGCCAGGTTTAAAAAAAGTAATAAATTTACACCTTGAGAAGACATATAGGATGAATATAGACTAGAGATACATTCTTGACTGCTTTAGGATTAACAGAGCTTTAGTCTAGATCAACTTTGAATGAAAAAAAAGAGAATTATAGGGCCAGTTTTTTGTTTTAATTTATTTATTTTTTGTGTAGGCCTATGTGAAATGTAGTAGTCAAACAGTTCAAAGAAAAACATCTTTAAAACAGAAAGAAAGGTCACTTACAATTACAAAATGAGAACAGTAAAAAAAAATCTGACCAAAATTGCTCTGTGTGGGTACATTGCAAAACTGTTTTGCCATTATTAGTTTTTTTTTTTTTTTATTGAGGAGTACTGTTGTATATTAAAGTATAATTTCAGCAGAGAAACAAAAAAGTGAACTCGTAAATGCTGCAGCACATATACGGTGACCTTGTAAAATGTGCACTCGGGCTTTCCGTAGTCGCAGATCTCATCTGCTGTCACTTGATGAACATTTCATTTTAAGATGTAGATATTTGTTTGTTTTTAATATTAAATGAATAATGTCTTCGAAAGGGACGTCGCGGGGTTTTTATTTTAATACTGTTCTGTCTCTCGCGCGTTCTCTGGCTGCTCATCGATCCGCTCCTTTTGACAAGGTGAGAGTTTCCTATTAGCATCTGAAGCTAACAGCTAACACAACCAAAACAAATCAAAGTTTAATGAAATATCGGACATCCTCTCTTATTTATATAACCTTTATTAACATGTATATCCAAATGTTAAAGACCAGCGATTCAAATCGACTGACAATGCTTTATACAGTCATTGCTGTAGATATTTGTTTGTTTTTAATATTAAATGAATAATGTCTTCGAAAGGGACGTCGCGGGGTTTTTATTTTAATACTGTTCTGTCTCTCGCGCGTTCTCTGGCTGCTCATCGACCCGCTCCTTTTGACAAGGTGAGAGTTTTATTTCCTATTAGCATCTGAAGCTAACAGCTAACACAACCAAAACAAATCAAAGTTTAATGAAATATCTGACATCCTCTCTTATTTATATAACCTTTATTAACATGTATATCCAAATGTTAAAGACCAGCGATTCAAATCGACTGACAATGCTTTATACAGTCATTGCTTTGCTAGTTTCTAGCTCTTTTTCATGAACCCCCCAATTTAAGGGTTGAAGAGATATTTACGTTATTAATTAATAATACCCACGTTTAATCATCAATATAATACGTTGAAACAAGAATTCAATTTAATAATCACTTACATGATTGCTTATTTTAAATGCTTTATTGATCCGTTACACTTACAATACAGTTATAGAAAATAATCAGTGACAGCATAAAACTATCAATTTAATAATAATAATAATAATAATAATACAGAATATTTTTGTTGTGAGTGAAAGGTGTACTTTTAGATCATTCAAAACACAAATTAAACCACATTTATACAGTATGTCAGATTTGGTCAACTGCTTATTGATTTATAAATGTATTTCAGAGCTGTGTTGGCTGATGTGTTTTTGTGGTCATTTATAGCTCAGAGATGTAAAGTATGCATTAACCCTGACACATCACAGTGCTGTGTTGTTATTACTGTCTGACAGGACGTGAAAAACCAGGTGTTTCAAGGGCCGATCTCTATAGAAAAGTCATTGTGACTCTGAGAAGAAAACATTTTCTGAGCCTCAGTGAATCTTTGCAAAGGTGCTCTCATTTAAAACCAAATATGCGACACACTGGTGTCCTAAAAGTCAGTTTTGCATGTGAGATTCTCTATGTATGCTGGTTTTCTGGGACCTTTTTGGTTACATGACATAGTTTGACCCTTATTGCTTCTGAAGGAATGATTTAAAATGATAATAAATTATAATTCTGAAATGTACATGTTTATCTGAAAACAGGAAAGGCTTGATCAATAGTCTGTTTTAAAGGGAAGTATGTTATAAACTTCCTTACACATTGGTGAACTTCTGTACATAATCTTGCATCATTAAGTTTTTATGATGTGTGTGCACCTGTTGTGTTATTGAGTGGTGTCCAGTGTTATTTTAGTATTATTTATATGCTATTATAGTTTTTATTCAATTAAATTAAATAATTTTTTGTTTTTATATTTTCAGCTTTAATTTTAGTTTAGCTTTTATTAATTTTATGTGCTTTTGTCTTTATATATAGATATATATATATTTATTATGATTTAGGTTTTATTATTTTTTAAAATCCAGTTTTATTTTTTATTTATTTCCAGTTAGTAGCTTTTCATCTCATATTTATATTTGATTTAATTTGGCCTTTATTTCAATTAACAAAAAATGTTTTTAATAATTTTAGTTTTAGTTAACAGTAATATAACTCTAGTGGTGTCATCATGTTCAACTTGGTAGTTTGACGCACAAAATGCATGATTAGTTATTTATACAAATGAAAGACAATGGCACTCTGGCTCTCACTGCTTCTGAATGATGAAGATGACATGTTTAAATACATTTGCATATTTGTCTAATATAGGTCCAGAAGCTACAATGCATGTGTCCCGTGGACATCCGTGGTGTTTTCCAGCTGGATGAGCGGAGGAGAGATGCTGTGATCGCCCTCGGCATCTTCCTGGTGGAGTCTGAGCTGCAGGTACTGGTTTTAACACAGTCGCTCTCCTCAGCTTCATTGATTAAAGGAATAATACAGAAACAAAAAATGTTAATGTAGTACTACTACAGTGTAAGTAAGTAAAATGTATTTATATAGCACCTTTCACAGACAAGGAGTCACAAAGTGTTTTACAATAAAAATAATATGTGACCCTGGACCACAAAACCTTAAGGAAATCTTAAAGGAACACTCCACTATTTTTGAAAATAGGCTCATTTTCCAACTCCCGTAGAGTTAAACAGATGAGTTTTACCGTTTTCGAATCCGTTCAGCCGATCTCCGGGTCTGGCGGTAGCACTTTTAGCTGTAGCTTAACATAGATCATTGAATCTGATTAGACCGT